AAAACAATATCATAAAAATGTATAATAAATTAAATAACTTTCCTACTTTTTAAACCAACAAATGTGTTAATAATATGGTTATATTTTAGTTGTTCAAAAATTTGTTTCTCTATAGATACCCATTAGGCAGAGTTGGGCAAAAAAAAATCTAGTAATAGTAATAGTAATTTTTATAATTTAACAACATATTTATTTAAACGTATAGTAACCTATTTTAATTGATTATTTAAATTTGCCTTTAATCAGAAGAGGAATCAATATAATTTTACCATTTATTTTTGAATTGGAGATGAGAAAAGTAGTAATTGCTGAATTGTCAGCTTCAATTATGTTAAAATTTAAGATGTTACAAAATCTTTTTTCTATGCTATCTAGAAGACTGTTTCTAATGACTTTGCAACTAAATTTTCACTATTTATAAGCCTTAGTTTTTATTGTAAGCATAATAATGTAAGCAATACCGTACCATATTAAACATTTTCATCCCTTTGTAATTTATCCAATGCTTGTGATAATGGCTAAACACAAGATAAATATTAATCAATATAATCGTTGTTGGATATTGTAAATGAATTATGCATTAAGCCAAATGCTCTGTTAAGTTCACTGGACTTTTCTTTTATGTTATTAATTTGGGATAACAAGTTAAATAGTGCATTCCATCTCTTCTGCCCAGGCCTCGATAGAGTGTGTCAAAAATGTATTCTTTTACCTACGAATAAGTTTATATTATATAATATCACATTTTTTATCTAATAACAAATAAAATTTCATACGAAACTCTCATACAAATATTGATGTATCATGTAAATAAAAAATTAATTTAAAAAAAGGTGGGTGTGTGGGGGGAGTAGACTGTTGATGTACAAATGTTACTTAGGATTATCATTTATTATTTATATGATTATGGGGAATAATGAATAACAAATAATGAATAACGAATAACCGAATACTGAATAAAATATATGTAATAAAAATCTCCGAATAATGAATAACGAATAATAGTAAAAATAAAAATCAATTATAAAATTAAGAATAAAGCAATGAAAAATAATTTTTTATTCTAATAATGCCCATCTTCGCCATTAGATATAGTTAAGTTGGTGTCTTTCTCTTGGGACAGAGTGCTTTTAAGATAGTTTTTACTTTTTTTTTTATAAATTTCAGTTTTAAAAATTGAATTTTAATAATTTTAAAATTATATTTTATACTTTAATTGCTACCTTAATTATAAGTTATAACGATTAACTATTATTTAGGAGAGGTTAAATAGGTGTTAGGTTATACAGTGAATTATATCAACGAAAATGTGTTGTATAGAAAAAACACTTATTATATTATTATTATCACACCTTATTTATACGTCAAATGTTGATAATTTATATTTATTTTAAAGATGAGAACTTTTTTTAGGTCGAGTCAAAGCTTTAATTTCCATTTTTCCTTTAAATTGTGCTAGAAAAATAACAAATATTATACATTATTCATGTGTATAATTTAGGTTCTTTAATTTTAATTTTGATCCAACCTTCAGAATGTTCTCTTATTTTAAATTAAAAAAAAAATAGCGCAATCCAACTATTCTACAGGTATAGTTGGGCACATAAATTTGATTGTTTTTCTTCTTAGGACTTCATTTCACGAAATAGTTGTTATAAATTAACAAAAATAAATATAATGAAAAATATCAAAAAGAAAATAATGTTTACAATGTTATATTTCTCTTAGGAGTTAAAGCTTCATTGAAATTAAATAGTTATTTTTAATGCTCACATAATATAAATGAAAAAAATATAGGTACAACACATAACATTGGTAGATTGCATACTATAATCATATTTATAGTTAGGTAGTACACAAGACAGAGATAGACCGCATATTGGGACATAGCCTCAATTACAACTTAATATACCCATGGACCATTGGGTAAACAAATAAGTGAAAATAATTTTACTAAAGTATATGATACTTACAGCAGTTAATTTTAATATACATTTATTTAAAGCTGCAAGTACTCAATTAAATTGTTATGTTATTTTTTAGTTTTAAAAAAAGGTATAATTTTTAATTTTATATGGAAAAAAGGAACTGAATTTTAACATTGTTGAGTTATTTTATATTCTATATTAACTCAACTCAACGAGTTAAATTGCCCAGTCTTGTTTGTATGTGTATTATTTTAATGTATTTTAAATATCTATTTTGATTCATTATAATTTATAGTCATAATAAACTCACAAAATTAATCCACAAGTAATAGATACACGGATGATCTGATGTACCAAGGACGATGCACTCTCTAGTCATACCTCACTCATCGCCACTTTAGGTTTTAGGTACTGTTGTTCATTGTGTTTTGGAGTTGGTATTATAACCTATTATAAGGGTGGCAAATTGTTAGTGCCTATATTAAAAATGAATCCGACTCTGTATTGTATTGGAAATTTGTTTATTGTTTGTTTATATTAAATTATAAAAATAATATGCATTATTACGCTTAAATTCTTTAAACATGCACAATCATAAACCTCCTTCTGGTAAAATATGCATCATACATTTTGGAGGAAATGTTTGTACTTTGATTATCTATATCATGAAACAAAATTGTATCAAATCAGATTTTAAATACGCAGCCATCTAAGAAATGCATGTAGTTCCGATCACTGGTGGTTACATATTTCCTTTACAAACTCATCTCATTTAGGTATGGTGTAGAAGTGTCTCATTCTCAGTGACTATATCTAGACACAATTTGTTGTATGGTTACTTGTATTGCAAAGGACTTTTAGTAACACTTGAAAACATATAATTAATTGTTGTAATCAACATTATTATTATTATTATTATTATTGTGACGCTATGATAGAAAAACTATGTATTTAGAATTCTAAATAATATGGAATAACATTTCACTTGCTACATTTGTTTGATTATGAGGTTGAAATCTGTTTTTAAAATTTAAATAATTAATCACTAGTTAGGAACCACTGCTGTATATGACACTGTATCTGATCAAATGTTTAATTTATTTTTCAGATCCTATAAAATAAACGATTGAACAACTTATTATATTTTCATTTTCATTGGCATTTTAAGATTAATTAAAATTAATTTTAATCATGAGTTCAGAATCTACATCAAGTCAAAGTAAGAACAAATTGTATAATGTATTTTTATAATTTTCAATAATTACATAGTTTAATTTATGTAATTTTTGTTTATATTCTTAGATTTCAGCCCAATGAATTCACAGTATAGTGATGAAGATTGGTATAATGGAAGTATTAAGTCTATTACTCTAGAAAATTTTATGTGCCATTCGAATTTCCATTTAACATTGAATCCTCGAATTAACTTTATATCAGGTTTGAATGGCAGTGGAAAGAGTGCTATCCAAACTGCTATTGTCGTAGGGTTTGGTGCTAGAGCAAGCATTACCAACCGCGCTTCTTCATTGAAGTCACTTATCCGATATGGACAGTCATCAGCTACTATATCAATAACCATAGCAAATAGTGGAAAAGGAAATTATGACTGTGGTCCTTACAAGCCTGAAGTGTATGGCAAGCAAATTACTATAGTGAGAAAAATTACTGAATCATCCACAAATCATAAATTTTTAAATGAAAATAATAAAGTTGTTAAAGTTGATAAAAATGAATTAAAAAATTTGACACTTCATTTTAATATATTAGTGGATAATCCAATATGTGTCATGAATCAAGCAATGGTTAAAACATTTCATAAAAGTGCAAAACCAAATGAGAAGTACGATCTTTTTTATAAAGCCATATCTGCCAATACATATAGTGAACATATTGAAGAAACAAAATCAGTGACAGTAGAGTACTCGGAAAAACTTGAAAATGTTAAAAATGTGTTGAAACAAAATTTCAAAGAAGTAATAGAATATGAGACTTATGAAAAAAAATCCAAACAGTTGAACACATTGAAATATAGTCAATTTCAATTTGAAAACGAGTATGCTTGGTATATTGTTCATCAACTCGAAACAACTTATAAGGAGTATTTAGATCAAATCGAATCTCTTGAAGGTAATGTTTCCGAAAATACAGACAAAATAAACATTTTGGAACAGAATATTAAAACAAGCTCAGAAACATTGATGTTAAAAAAAAATGAACTAACAAATGCTGATATTTCTCGTTTATATAATCATATGGTTTTCGTGAAGATGAAAGAAAAAATACAGGAAAAAATAAAGGAGTTTGATTCAGTGAAGCAATCTGTTAGAAAATATGATTGTGAATTAAAATTATTAATTAGTGATAGACAAGATTTAGAAAAACATATCGAGGTTGAACGTCAAAAAGGCAATACCAATACTTTAGCACAGTATAAAGAAATGTTGGCAAGCTATGAGCAAAATTTATCTGAGGTGGAGGCAGCGTTGAAAAAAAACATGGAACACGAACAAACTCTACGTAATACAGTTAACGAATTGATGCAGAGTATTGGAAATTTAAAGAACAATGAGGTTACTCCTTTACAAATAAAAATACGTGAACTTGATAGGAATATCAACAGTATGTCTCAGCAAGAAGACAGGATCATTTTGTATGGGAACTGGATGCCAAAATTAGTTAAACAAATTGAAATTGCCAACAATCAAAACAAATTTATAAAAAAGCCGATTGGACCTATTGGGACGTGCATTAAAGTGAACAATGACAAATGGATATTTTCAGTCGAAAACTTCTTAAGCCGAAACACTTTAAGAACATTTTTAGTGGATAATTTTAAGGACAATGAAGTACTTCAATCAATAATGGACAGAATAATTACAGGAAATACTAGAAAACCAACTGTTATCACTAGCAAATTTTTTGACAACGTTTTTAATATTGCTCCTAATGAAACTGGAAATAATTTGTTTCGGATGTTACGTTTCACTAGTCCTGTAGTAGCTAATTTTTTGATTGATAACAATCGTATTGAAACCATTATGCTAGTCGATAACCCAGAAGAAGCTATGCCTATGATGGAAGATGTGTCCAAAGTTCCTAAAAATTGTCACTTTTGTTTAACTTTAGATGGAACTCGAGTTTATCCAAGCCCTTCGTATAGAATTTACTCTTTACAAAGTGCTAGTGAACCAGTGCTCTTGCAGAGTGATATATCTGTTGCTATTAATAATTCAAAAGGCGAGAAAAAAGCTTTAGAATTAAAAATGAATAGTCTAAACAGAGAATTTGTAAATTTAGAACAGTCACAAGTAGAGAAACAACAACTCTTCAATAAGGCTATTACAGAAACAAAATTGCTTAAAACCAAGTATGACGAATGTTCAAACAAAATCAATGAACTTAAAGCTAAATGCGAAGAAGAGCAAGATGACAGAATGGGTACTCTTACTGAAGAAATAAATGATGTTGATTTAAAAATAGCTAAAGCCAAAGAATTAAAAGATAATGCCATAAAACCAATTTCAAAGTGTGAAGAAGAAATTAGTATATTAAATGAGAGACTGCAAAAACAAAAATCTTTGATCGAAAACACTGATCGTTCTGCATTGTTGAAAGAAATTGAGACCCTCCAATATCAAATCGATAAACATAAAACAGAAATATTGCAAATTAATAATAATTTAACTGAACAAAAACAATTATTGATTAGTATACGCATGAAAGCAGAAAAGCAAAAAGAAGATCTTGAAAAAGAAAAAAAAGCTGTTGAACAACTAGGTGAGAAAATTCAGGTAACACGCAATGAAGAAGATATAAGGAGAGACATAGAAGAAACCAACCATAGATACAGGTTATTAGAAATGGAGTTGAAGAAAACAGGTAAAGACCATCTAGCCTTAAGAGAAGATTATAAGAAGAGAAAAGAACAATATATACAAAATAGTGCATTATACAAACAAATTGCAGATATTTATAAATCCAATAAGAATTCTGTCGATCTTAGTACAACAGCACTTGATAACTATATTGAGTACTTTCGATTGAAAGTAATTGAAGCTTTCGACTTGATGCTGTTACTACGCAAAATTAAGGGCAAACTCGAAATTAATAAACATGAACAACGTATGGCAATCTCAATGTTT